AGCTTTGCGCGAAATTCAAAAACAAACAAACAAACTTTAGAAACCGACAACATACGATTATACAACCACGGTAAGATTTGTTAAAATTAAACTGTATAAAACCATTAACTAAACATTCACACAAGATTTTGTATCGGTTGTACTTAGTAAAACTTTTGTTTATTTTGTTCACAACGTTTCATAAGGTTCACCTGGCATCATCGGCTGAGATACAAGAACTGGCTGAGGCTAACAATTAATTCATTAGTTGAAAAATATCGCAAGTTTAAAGGAATCCCAATCGCTTTTTACAAAATACCACTTGTGTACGTTGGAAGTTAGTCGTTAGCATAAAATACAAAACAGAAAAATCAACTACTTTCTCCAGCGGTAAAGAAACGTAGTAGTAGCGCGGTTTTAGACGGTTCTCACAATAGCGTTAATACGAACCTAAGTGGCTTCAAATCCCATATAATATAATACTTCCCAATATTAAACCGTTCAAGCATTAATTCTTGGTTCTAAATCGAAACCTCTCAGCGCAAAGAAAATAACAACCTATATCAAGACACACGGTAGTGTGTCGTGCGACCAATACAATCTGCAGGACACACTGTGTGTGTTATTGACATGAGTGATAGTTTAGTGATTTTCTAGTTTCTGTAGCTTCAACTGTGTAATCCAAACTATCAAATATTTTCAGTGGATGTGCTCTACTTCACTTACCAAATTTCAAGGCAACCCATTAAGAAATAAACGAGATATAAAATTTTCAATTTTAATTGAACTCCTTCCATTTTTTTACCTTCTCACCGAAAGTACGGAAACTTTATTTGATAGAAAAACATACTTAATTTTATGAATTTTTGTTTTAAAATTTAGTACACTCATAGATCTTTACAACCTACAATGAGGTGTCACATTTGGTCTAAGTATAAGCCACATGTGCAAAATTATTCAACAAAAACCGTTGAGTTTTGACCAAACTTTTTTGCGCACGCCTACACAAAAAGTCACTGGAGCTATCGGCCTAAAATGTTTATTACAGCTTCATCTAAGAAAGAACTGAATTGTAAATATGAAATATTCCTTTAAAGTCGCCCACCAGTGACACAGTTGCTTGTCTGCGAACTTAAAACGCTAGAAACCAGGTTTCGATACCCGTGGTGGCCAGAACACACACAGCCCATTGTATAGCTTTGTGCTTAATTACAAACAAACAAAAAAGCGAAAAATCATTTAAAGGCAATTTTAAATACAAAATTTAAAAAGAAACTTTTCTTTCTCAAATCGGTAGAATAGGAAACTTTGTCAAATATTCAATAGCAGAAAAATCATCATGTATTACAAAATAACCAATCTTCAATTTTTGATAGGGTCATACTCCAATATATAATTTTCTGATTTGTTAGTCATTAAACATTGCTGCCTTATGAAAACGAGAAGCGGGAAGGATTTATCAAAATGTCAGACCGTTATAATTTCATCTTTCAAAAATTTTAATTGTCATAATAATGATATACAAGATTTTAAACAATTTAATGTGTCAGCTTAGAAAAATAACGAAATCTAGTAAATTAATACATAATCCTGTAATATATAAAAAAAGTATACTTACTGAAATATCTTTTCTTATACTGATTTAACTAGTAAATTTTTAATACAATTATAATTCGGTTTCTTATTATTATTTTATGTCAGATCATACTTTGTTATTTATTGAATACTTAAAATGTTGATATGCTTTAGAAAGTTTAGAAATGAATTATTCGTACTTTCGTTTATAGCAAAAGTAAATAAAATAATAGAAAACCCTTTGAACTTAAACGCCTAGACTGGCCTCCAGAATGAGAGAGAGAGAGATTCGAATAATAGATAAATACATTATTTTATCTTTATTTTTTCAGACTTGGAGAGGAAGTATCAGTATCGCATTATTGTCAACACTTTGTCTATGGTCATTTAGTGTCTGTTTTTTACTTGTACTTGGACTACTTCACACAAGTAAGTTGGATATAAGTTTACTTTTAGCCTGTTTCTGATTCTCACGAGTATGATACACATTAAAATTTCTCAGTAAATCCTCAAATCTCCAAGTCAGGACATGGATATGAAAGTAACAAAAAGGTATTACATAAATCATGATGTGTACATGTAATACTGAAATGAAATTTTCAATACTTATACATTTAATCATTTTATTTATTTATTTATTTATTTTGTAAATAACTTGTTACTAATTTTTTTGTATTACCGTGTCCCATACGTATTTATATGTTTACGTGATTAAAAACTAAAAACTTAAATTTTGAAGGATAAACAATTACATACAAGTGTTAAAGATAAAATAAAAGATTGGTTACAGTTCACGATATATAATTGTACGTAAATAATGTTAAACCATTCAAAATAAACTAGTTAACACGAGACAAAATATTGCCGGAACTTAGTGTACAACAAATTGTGTAATAAATTAAATCATGTTCCCCAAACACAGACTTGTATGAAATATAACACAATGATTAATGTAGCGATTTAAATACAGAAGTTGTGTGTGTTTTCTCAAATATACAAATGACGTGCGGTTTTTCAAATCAAAAGTGTATTTATTTTAAAGTTCTTGTGAAGTCATATTTGTATTACAACACAAAGATTGTGCATCGTCCAACACAGCATAATGAAGTTGTTTATTTTGGGTCTATCGAAACGTGTAGTGCGTCTCCCCAAAAAATAAACAATTTCATTATGCTGACACACATTATGCTGTATGGTGTCAGTCTATTTTTTCATTAGTGAATTTTATTTGTGTACTAAATTACTATAACTTAGATGACATTAGTTTAATACATGCTGCTGAACGACTAATTTAAAGCTGTTTATTAATTTTACTTCTGCGTTCCGATCTATACTACGCGGTGGTTACACGAAATTCGTGCGTCATGAAAATCGCTTTTCTACATTTTAAGTCACGCGAAATTAATTGAATTTTGAATATAAATGTGTTTTAGATTTATATGTTAAACGTTTTCATATTTTTCATTGGAAATAGTATTAATAGTGAAGGAGTTAGTTAAAACTTCATGCATTCAACGAACATGTGAATCAAACGTTAACAAAATGGGTTGTATTGTGTCTTGCTGAAGAAATGAAACGTCGGTTCCTAAAACTCGTTTGTGATTATTAGTAAACATGATTAGAGAAACAACAAAAATTGAAAATCATTGAAAAGGAAAATAAAACAAAACAAAATCTTGGTGTGTTATTTTATTATTCACTCCAAAAAAAAAGACCAATTTTCATGGGAAAAAAATGGAATCCACGACCTTATCGTATTATAATGACGATCGTGGTAAAATAAGTCGTTATATCTAGACATAAGTGAATTGCTTTATTTTCTTCACGATATTATTATGCTAAGTTTCTAATCAAATATGCGTGCAATTGATCCTATAACAAAAATGATCACCTGTTAAAATAGATATGTTCTGACTTTGATAGATTGCCTTTCTAGAATTCATAATTTCATGAAACTATCGCTGATTCAATTGTCTTAGATAATTTGAATATTTTCTTAAGTTTTTACTTATTTATTCACCTCTTTCTATCTATTTCACTAATAATTATTGCGAAGTCATGGATAAAATTCACGAGGAAACGAGTTCAAAGCTATGAGTAAAAAGTGCCGAAGTCTTGCACATGAATATTACAAAGATAATCCCTTATCAGTTTTCCCAATTCCTGTCATTGGCCAAAATTTTTAAACCTTTGTAGAAATAGATGTGATGTTTTAAGTAAATCGGTCAAGTAAAATACAATCTCGCAAAGCTTACTAATACAAGTAACAAAAAAACATTTTGTAAATCTAAAATTATGTAGGGATAACAGTGCCAAGAAGAATGCAAACAAAAATATAGGGATGATACAGCTATACATAGATCATCCCTACATGATTTTCAATATTAAAATTTAATGTTACACTATAAAATGCACAAGCACAAAATGGTTACGAGGTCGGTCAATTCGACGGACCTCGTAGCAAGAGTCTCTAATAATCAAGACATTTTGATCCAACTTCGTTTTCTTTGTACGTAAGTCTTGGGCTCTTAGTTACACTACATTAATGCCTATCCTGACGTGATCATGATATTATGATAAACAAACTGCATACCAACAGTCAGGAATATATAACTTCCAACTGCAGTAATATTAAAGTCATGTATGCATTTTACAGGGTAACATTAAATTTTAATATTGAAAGTCATGTAGGGATGATCTATGTATAGCTGTATCATCCCTATATTCTTGTTTGGATTTTTGTTGGCATTGTCATCCCTACATCATTTTACATTTACAAAATGTTTTTTATTACATGTTTTGCGACGTTTTTCACCTTGACTGAAAGTTAGTATAGTTTGTGAATGTGTGTAATAAAATGAAGAATTATGTGTAATGATTTATTTTTACTCCTTTACTTCATATATAATATAGGGGTTGGCTCCCTAAACACACCGATTGTATAATATACAAAGCATTGAGTATTTTACATGTTACAGTCATCTAATGTTCATGTATTATTGGCTGATAATTCCTATTTCACCATGTACTTAAGGTTTTTTAAAGAAACACCAGATTTCTGTAAAAAAGCTAACTTGAAGTGGGTAATGATAATCGTTTGCACTAGAATCATGATTTTTATTTTTAATTAATACTAGCTATTACGACTAAGCGATGACATCGTGCACTGCCAAGAAACACATAGCGTGGATTTAGGTTTAAACTGGCATTAGTGATAAAGTAGTTGTAGAATTATCTGAACTGAAACAACAACAAGAAAGATGAATAATTTAGTGGGTTGGTCACTTTCTGATTTGGTATCTTAGCGATGGCTTCTTGCCTTGTTTTTGGGCTTGTTGGGTTGAGAAAAAATGAAAATGAGTGGCAATCATCTTTTAAAGTAAAGCTCTCTGACATTGTTGATTTTTAGCGTGCATATTTGTATTATACCTGTTGAGTACCTTGGCCATCCCTATATATATATAGTCTACAGACTCTATGATTAAAAGCAGTAAAACCTGTAGTGTTATTTAAACTAGTTATGATTTAACTAAACCTAATTACTTATAATATTCGATTCGGTGAAAAACTTATGAAATGCTAAATACTTGTTTTCTAAGACTAAACATTTCGAAATATTTCAATTATATATACAACTGTAACATGACAATATGGTCTTATCGAAACCCCATCACGCCATCACGACGTCTTTGGTGTGAACTGGTACAAACGTTAGAGAAAAATTCAAGCTGTTACGATCTGATCTACTGGGCTTACAAAAATGGGTAAAACCTTTTATTTTCATCTTTGAAGATTAGCCCATTTTCAAATTCATCTAATATTTAAGTTCTTCAAATCGATATTTCGGATTAATTACTAGACCAAATATTTCTTATGTTCTATATATTTTTAATTATCTAAATAATCTATCTTGTATTAATTCACGTCGAGTGTTTGTAAATTTGTATGTTTATTCATAAACTCCTCCCACAGTTTTGGAGCTAGCATGACCAAACTTAAGCGAACTCGGCGTATCTCCCCCTTCTGGGGGGGGGGGGGCTAAAATGCAACCGGAAGGTCATTCAGACATGACGAGGGTCTAGGAATATATTTTCATTGTCGTTAAATCCAAATCTGGTATCAAATTTTGTGTTTTTGACCACCTTCGTAATTTTGTAAACGCCATGTTTGAAACTGTGTGTGTACTACAATTGCAATCTTCAAGGACCAAACTGACACACACGCTCAGGTACCGCAAATGGGTGTCCTAAAGGAGATCGTTTTCGTTAAGACCCTCCCCGTTTTTCTGGGGGGATAACAAATAATCGGTGATAACGAAGAAGCTTTATGAATACATTGGAGCCTCTGTGTATGATGAAGGAGCCTTTTAACCCTGCAGAGTAGTGAGAGGATTTTATGGTAGTTTATTTATAATCAACTTTATAAAAATTCAGATTTTCAATTACTGTACTTGTATAATGTTTAGAAATTAATTAATAGGAATAATGACCTTAACTCCTGATGATAATATGGAATAAATAACCGTCTTTTAATGCTATTTAACTCCCCAGTACTGACGCGTTAGTATTTTACGTGTAGCACTGGGCGTGGCTCATTAGTTACGTGCCCGGATTATGAATCAGAGGATTTATTTATGGTTTGCGTCCCATTTCTATAAAAATGCGCTCTGCTCTTTGGCGCAGTGGGTAAGCTGTGAAAGTGTCCAACTCGCACTATTTGGTTAAACAAGAGTAACCCAGGAGTTGGCGGTGTTTGCTGTTAACTAATTGCCTTCCCTATAATGTTCTGAAACAAAATAGTGCTCGAATTTAATACAATAATCGTGGTCTTAAAAAAAAAGTCGCAAGACCAGACAGATAAAAAATTAACCCGCTTTTTCATGAACGATAGATCACCAAAATTGGAATAATTTGGATATTCTATCTTTCCAGAGTATTACAATCTTGTATCGAGTAAATTTTAGTCTTCCTACCTACCAGTGCCGGACTATGTATCCGGGGTTCCGGGGTTCACGCATAGTTACCGCCAAAAAAAAATATATATATATAAAATAAAAAGTCGCCCTCCCTACTTTGGGACCATGGGTAAGTTGTCAGAGTGACGGTCAAATGCCAATATTTGATTATAGCAGTTGGGAAATAGTAGCCAACATTTGGCGGTGGTTGGTGTTGACTAGCTGTATTCCCTATTGTCTATCACCTCAAAATTAGGAATAACTAGCGCAGATAGCCCTCGATTACCTTTGCGCAAAATTCAACAAAATTTACTACGCGTTGAATATAAAAGTCAAGTACACTTTTGAAACACAGTCGCATGATGTGTGCATCTTAGCTATAAAAAAATTTATTATATGACAGATAATTTTTAGAAATTGTATAATTTTTTTTATTTGCTCTTCTGTTTCATCTGTCTGTTATTTTGTTTTCAGAATACATCTTATGTTCGATAAACTACAACACAAAAGCCAAGTTCATATACACAGGTCATTTTATCACTGGAAAATCTTCATTCTGTATTGGAAGCTGGCATTTAATCAGGTAATATATCGTATGTGTTTCGATTAATATAATTAGTGTGTTGGTATATTATACATTGCCAATTTCAGATAACGCCAGTGTTATTATTTTATTTGTTTGTTTTTGTTTCGTTGTGAAATATAATATTTTAATAATATTAACAACAACCACTTGGTCCTAAGGATTGCAATTAGAACAAGAGGGAATCATCAATAGCCGCGTCACTTGAAATTATTTTAGGATTAGAGTAAATTAATTTATGAGACCTATTTTTATCAGCTTTATTTTTGTGCGCCAGCAATATCAATCGTGGGGCGCGCGTATACCCGATTCGATTTTATTACTCATCAGGATCTCTAAAAGCCTACCCTCAAACTGAAATTATTTTAGGCAGGATTAGACTAAATTAATCTATGAGAACTTCGGCGTGGTAAAATACATCAATCTAAAGGGTTTGATCTCCTGAGTCCAAAAATGTAATCAGATCTCAAATTGGTCAACAGATGGCGGAGCTATAAGCTAAAAGTTTGTAGTTGAACAAAAACTGGGAGCCATTCTGTGAGCCGTTATGCACGACTAAAAAAGTGAAATAATTTTTCGTTAACAAATTATCATCTCTGTTTTATAGCTTTATTCCGACTTTGATAGTTTGCTTTGTTAGCATTCATAGCTTTCATAAAATTGACGCCGATTCGAATCCTATATTAATTCTCGTTGTGTGCGGATATGTTTTGTTTGTTTGTCCGTGACCTCCTCCCAAAGTTTTCGAGCTAGCAGGAATAAACTTAGCAGACGAACTCGGAGTAGCCGCGATCTTGAAACTTATTATACTACGACTAGGTGACGGTATTTAAAACCCTACGAAAGAAGCGTAATTTTATCTGGTTAAACGGATAAAACACTGTCCAGCCCAACTTTCTCTCGCGATGGTACAAAATTATATAAGTAAATAAATGTAAAATATTTTCCTCCAAAACGTGCGTAAATGATGATTTAAAATGCTCTTAGATACCGTATCCAAGAGCAAACAAACAAAATAAAACTATGGAAGAGATAATAGCGTCAACGAAATAGCCTTTCCTATACAATGAAATTATCACCATACTAAAATTCATTAGTTGCAGTGAATATTTAAGAATCATTAGTTTGTCTTTAACTTTTTCTCCTTATAAATCTGAAACCATATTAATAGCAAAAACCTTTAATAAAAATGAATAGAACAGTTGAATGTAGTGAGTGAGACCATCAAGTAAGTTAAACGTAATATATCTAATCCTTTGTGATTTATCGGATTTTCAATCTTTAGCTAAATGTCCATCTCGCTCTTGAACAAAAACAAATGAGCGCAGTAAAATTTTGAACTTTAGTAAATATTAGTACAAGCTCTTACGTGGCAGTTATGTCAAGAAATTGCGATACTTCATTGTTTGTAGTGAAGAATACTTGCGCTACTCATACAAGTATTGACTTTTTACGTATGTTGGAAGGATAATACTATTGGACTTTGACCTACTGGAAATGTAAATTCATAATCTGTAGTTAATATACTGCACGGACTACAATAAAGTATTAGCAGTGAAAATGTTAAAATCTTAATAATAATTTTATAAAATATACTTGAGATACGCATTACACGCGATAAATAAATGTAGGTGTTTTATATTATGCTACTGGTTTGCTTTTACTAAAAACTGTGTATAAACACAACAGTAAAGCAGATCGACTCACATTTCAGTCCTAAGAGAATGGTGGTTTAATTCAAGTTAAGCTTTGGTTTTATTAGCATGATGAATTAGTTCAATTTCGCGCAATTGTATAAATAGCACAAGTTTTGCTTGTTTAAATCAGTTTGGTAGACAATACTAACATTATAGTTAAAACGTTATTTATTTATTTTCACACGTGTACCTGCAGCACATCTGAAGACTTGATATATCAAACAAAGGAACTCGAGTTGGCGGGAAAGCTGAACATCAATTACCAAGACTCCGCTGAATAGTTTCATCTTGCAAACTAAACTAGGAGCTGGTCTCGCTTGTTAGTGTTAAGAAACTTAACCATCTATCTTAACAGCAAATATCTACCGTATAAATACAAACCAACATTTTAACAAAAAAGCAGTGTTTAGAAGTATCATTAGTTTAGAGGCAACGTGCAAAAATATTTCTAACCATAAAATAAAAGCTTTTATTTAAAAGTTATTTAATTTTTCACAGACCCCTAATAATGCCTAAACACCGGAAAAATATTTTTATTTATCAAAGGTTAATGCGGTGAAAGTCCATAACGTAGTTATAATTGTGTTTTTGCTGTGGTAAAGTAACATATTCTGACTCAAAAAGAATATGCTGCTCGGTTCACAGCTTCTAATCGCTGCTGTTTTTGTGTGAAGTGGTTCTCTGCAGACAAATAATGGTTGTATAATATTTAAGAACAATGGCAACACGCTATGTCTGACCAGTCATCGTCTCAAGAGAAGGTAGCTGTCAAACTGGGATGTCTTCAAATTTATATAAACTTCTAACAAAATCTAAAAACTGTAATTTATTTAGTTTTGTGGGATGCCGATACTCCTCTCCAAACAAGATGTAGTAACTAGACATCATTTTGTAAGGCTTGGTGAAAGAAATCAACATGGGAAGTAATGGAACATTTCTCCAGTTTATTTGAATATAATGAATGAGACACTATTTGTAAATAAACCAATCTTCTGGTTCAGTCACCTCAAGAGTTTGCAGGGATTATGGAGATTTATTACGATGGGGATCAAATGATTTGTCACAAACAAGTTCAGCTTGCTTGTGTTCAGCAGATTTTAGACAAGTATATGTACGGTTCACGATGATTGAAGCAATTGAAATTCGATTTTTTGCCACGTGGTCCCCTCTAATTGTGGTAGTAGTAGAAAATCTAAAATACTTTGTTCATGTTACACAGCTAGAGTAAGTAAAACAATAATTTTTATAATCGACACTTTAAAAATGTTACCTGTGCTATTAGTTAAGTCCAACATGAATTTAGTGCAAGAAACGACTAATAGTTACTCTAGGGGAAAAGCATGACTCTTTAATGGCTGTGCGTCTTGGAAAATTGAAAGGTAGACATGGTTTTCTGAATTTGAAATTTCTGAAAATTTCATATTGGCTAAACAATTAGTTATATAGTCCGCTAAAGCTATGTGTTGGTGATCAATAGATCCTAGATAAAGTACTGGTGCTAAACAGATCCTGGTTTAATTGTTGGTGCGACACATACTAATTGTTAAAACTAATGCTAGTAAATATCTATGATTGTTTTTAGCATTAGGTAGAAAATAAAAATAGGCTACTAGTGCTAGTAAACCCCAAGATAAGCTGTTTTGCCAAATCTAGAAATTCTGCTGTATTTATGTAAAATATCTTTTTCAATAAATGCATTTAATAGTTTAATTTTACGAGCCTTGAGAAATAGCTAGTGTTAAAAATCTACCATTTGTCATATCATAATAATAATAATAAAAAGGTGTATTGTTAATACTAACATAGTTAAGGATATACATGTATCTAGCAGTAGATACATCTATGGTACGGTGTTACTTATAAGTCTTTGATCAGACTTAAGGTATCCTTTACTGGTAACAAGAGATAAAACTTGTAATATTCTATAAGAGTAAGATAAATTGATAGCACTAGACAAATCCTGTATACATTGTAAATATGGATAGAACCAGGATTTTCTGGTATTGGTAGATTCAGAATATATTGTTAGTGCTAAGTGAATCCTGGAAACAGTATCCATACAGTTCTATGTATTCAATATTGTACACTGATGGTAAAACAATGTACCCGTAAAGCGTGTATAAATAAACTATAATTCTATCATAGGTTCCTACATCCGGAAAATTCATGCTGTGTGATATTTCTAAATATAACGACATCAATGATTAACACTTGAAATATAGGAATATGGCTCTCGAGCTTGGTTGCAATTACAATAGTAAAACTAGCTTGCTTCATACAAAATTCATGCTGTGTGATATTTCTAAATATAACGACATCAATGATTAACACTTGAAATATAGGAATATGGCTCTCGAGCTTGGTTGCAATTACAATAGTAAAACTAGCTTGCTTCATACAAAATCAATTTATTGAAGTCGGCTATAAGTTGAATGGATTTTAAATCCCCTTTCAAATTTGCCTTGGATGTTTTACAATCCACCTACTTTAATCTGAAGAATCCATGAAATTAACCTAAGTTTCCACAGTTATTTTAGAACTTCACAGCGAGAAAGGAGATTCTACAAAAATCTTACAATGTATGTATGTACAGAGAATGGCTGAGAGAAGTCTAAAAAGTTTGTTGAATTGTTTTATAGCCTGCTTGCCAAAACATGAATGAATGTTTTTCATCTTTTCCAACCCACCGGAAACTTGTGTGTATTTGTTGGTCAACTCTCATTACAATCTACTAACTTTACAGTAAACATCATATTCTTTTATGCCATTACTTATCTTAAATAACAAACACTAGTTACAATTGTGGGGCCATCTTCTTATTTTATTTAATCTCTCTTATGAATCCATAATATTTTTTTCATTCTCCATTTAAAAAGTTATTACCACAAATATAATGTGTAGTTGCTTGAATTTGTGTAAATAGTGACAGTGATAAACTATACCAAAATATAAGGAGCTGTACATTTGCACCCTAAATGGTAGTTGTAAATTGTGTTTTAAATGGAAGTTGATGAGGTAAACTTGATCCAAAGGTCTTTTATTCTCAGCTGATCTAATATATAATTATGTTGTTGTGTTTAAGTTATTAATGTTCAAGATATTGATGTTATATGTAGTTTCTGCATTTCCACAACTTTACACAGGTTCTTTTACATTTCTAAACTAATCTGTTAACTAGATCTGAAATATAACACTTTCAAAATTTATTTTTCATATTTTCATCTTACGGATGGTATTTAACTTTTTTACTTTTGCTCTTACATTTCAAGGATTGTTTATAATAGCCCCCAAAATAATTACCTTCGGGAAAAAATATCAAATTACATGTAATCTTTTATTATACTTTGTATGAAAGTTTCTGTTAGTACTTGGTAATGTTCTTTCTAGGTTTAATGATCATATTGTGTAATTGTCTTCCTCGTACTTTACATTTCAACTTTGTAGAACAAATGATTAAATTCTTAAGCAAGTCTTTAACTACTTAGTAAAACTTGTTTTTATTCAAACTAATCAACAAATTTGATCAAATAAAACAAAAAGTGCTGTTTTTCTGTCAAAGAAAATGTTGTTCTCTATCAAAACTACTTTATCAGAGCAAATTACATGAAATATCATCCCTACATTCGTTTTACAAAAAAATACCCTTAAAATGTTTTTTTTTTTACTTTTTGACTACTACAATAAAAGATCTAACACCACACACTTTCTAAATCTTGATTGATGTTTTTAAACAATAAATATAACACTGTATAACCTGTATTTTATTTTATTCTTTTAAGCAGTCTGTGAAAACTAAAAAATTATTATCATAAGTTTCTAATCATCTATTTAGTGTGACTGTTTGGGTTCAATAAACTTCACTCGGCTTTCACATTGTAAGAAAGTACCATAAATAGATTTAGTTATCAACTTGTGAAAATACACACGTAAACAAATCTTCCTCAGATTTTCAAACTCGTACTCACATTTGATAATTAAAAATATCTAAACATTAACAAGTTATTTCATATTATGCCTTACAAAGTCCTCCAAATATGAAGAAAACAATGTTTTTAAACATTTTGCAGAAGATTTAGAAACCTATTTTTACAAAACTATGAAACAAGGTATAAATTTATTTAATGGCCTGAAGATCAACAGCCATATCCTTCTGTTTTTGCTTTCTTCATACGAGTTTAATACTGGAAGATTTCTAAAGAATCTCAAGGAACTGAAAAGCTATTGCTCAACTAAGGAAACCATTATCCACATAAAACATTTATATTGTAAATTTATATTTATTTATATTTATATTGTATCCTTATTAGAAATAACCTATTTGTATAATCATGAGATCTAAAAATGTGATGAGTAAAACAATGACAAATATTTATATCACTATGTAAATTTATGTTTTCATTAAAATTCAAGACTACATTGTACAACAGGCAAAACAGGAACTTCTAATTTTTTTTCTAAAATTAAATTATCTGGTTTATCTAATTTCAGTTACATATGTATAATATTCAAGCATCCACAGCATCATAAAGCAATGGGAAAATAAAAAACAATTGTCTTAAATAATACTTTATAAATGTTTATACATATCTTTAATTAAAAAATCCTTTTCATAATTGTAAAGCTCATTTATTCTCAGGCATAATCAACATAAAGCAAATGTATGCACTATGTTAAGTAGGTATAGTATAGCTCCTTAGGATTACTTTGACCATAATTATGTCAAACACCAAACAAATTTAGTAGAAAGGGTAAATAAACTAATTTTCCTATGCCAAAGTTTCTTCTCCAAATAAAAGAAAAAAAAACTTTAAGTATATCCTATTCATATTCTAGTATGAACTTGATTATATGGGTAAACAAAATGTAATTGTTTAGGTAGATAGTCGAGATAGAAACCATTTTATCATCTGTAAAAACAACAAAAAACTACTATTGGTTAAAATTGTATTTAAATATGTGATTTTCTGAAGTATATTCACAATGTTTGCAAATGTAGTTGGTACCACATGTGAATTTCTTGCACAACTTTGTTAAACTGTATTTTGCGAGGTGAAATGTGTACTTCTTTAATATCCATTTACAAACATACACCACTAATATTTGAACTTCTGCAGATAGTAGCCATAATTACCTGAATGGTGAAACTTTCAAATCTAGTTTAAAATTATTAACAATAAATTTATTGAAAAAAAGGGAACAAGGATGATAAAAACAAGAATATATTTCCTGAAGTAAACAGTTTCGTGTGGAACAGTGATTGACAAGAGTGTTAACACTTGTATCAGCTCATCTACATGAATTTTTATATAAAAGTTCTTGGTTGTGCCTACTGATATTATCCCACTTTTCTTGACAACTATCTGATGCATTTAGATCTGGAAGATAAAAGGTACTACTATGTATTCCAACACTGACCTTCCTGTTGCCACAGTAGAGGTGGCTTATATATGTATATTGAAATATTTTGGATAGTGGAAATTACTGCTAACTTGCCAAATCCTAATGGCTACAGTTAATGCTTATTTTCAACAAATAAATAAGTTATAAAACATAAGCATTTCAATTAGATTATCATAGAGGTTAGATGCTTTTAAAATTTTGCAGGAAACATTAAAAATAAAAGGCTGCATCTAATATCACTAGCACAGGTATTTTTTCTTCCCAAATAAATATATCCATTGAAAATTAATTACCATCACAAAATAATGGATTAGTTAACCAGTCAAAACTATGTTCTTGAAACATAAAAAGATGGTAATAAAAATGACATAACCAAAGAATTCTGAATTGGGGAAGCATGTAAGGAACGCTACTTTCTTTTCCTTGCATTTTGAATGCGCTACGTTTACTATTAAACAGTAACAGATAATGTGTACATTCCGAACACATGAATGTAGTATCACAAATACATCATTAGTTCTTCCCATCTGTTAACATGGTGTTAGTTACGCTTGTGAAATAATAAAATGTCATGTTGGCACACTAACTTGGCATAATTTATCTGGCTCAACTGAATCTAAATTCAAGTGGGGGGAAGTTGTGCTGCTAATTCAGGAAAGACAGAGCAGCTTAAATTACTACAAATTAGTTTTGTCAGCCTATAATATGACCACAGTTGTACAAAGAAAAAATATCTAACAACACTGAAAATACACGTGTGTACTTGTACAAATCAGAAATGATGGTATTTTAAGTATTACTTATAAATTTTGTGAATGGCTATAAAAAAAATTAACAATGTTCAAAAGGCAGTAAATGAAGAAGAATCTCTATAACAGTCATTATTCACACAGAAAAGTGCAAATTCTGCACTTATAATAAAATTTGGTATTTTACTAAATTCTCAGTAATAGTTTAAACTACGTAATTTCATAACAAATTATGATTTATCTACATAAAAACAAACACTTGGTAGAACTTGTGTTACGTAATACCAAATATACAAGATTTCTTAAGGTTAGCCTAAGCTATTTTTAGTGTGAATAAAAACATTAAGTAACATAGGTAATAATATCAGTATCTGCATACATAAGTGCATTTTTATTGATTGATAATCTAAGACATTGTTCTTAAAACTTGAAACGAGCTAATGCCATACTATAAAAAATGGATTAACTCTAAATTTTTAAATTCATAGAAAAAAAAAAGTTATGTTAGTACTAACTTCATTACTGCTTTCACAAGGCTTTTAAAGATCTATAACTGCATTTCATTCTCAGCCTTTCTCACAATGCAGAAGTCAGATGATCCTATTACTACATTACATGGGTATTAACTATTAATTCTCTCTTATGCAAGTGGACACTCACAATGTATGATTTGCTGACAAAACAACAAAATAACTTGAGTAGTTTTAAATGTCAAGACACAACTACCAATTTACCTAAATAAGGAATATTATAAACAAGATACCCACTTTTTCTACTCAGAAAAACCTCATGCTTCTAATGATCTTATATAACCAGATTCTTAAAAATAACAACCGAGGCAAACTTGGTAGGCTATTTAAACAATAACTGATTTGTTGGCAATACCAAATGGTGGACGACAGTAAAAACAGTATTTTAGATTACAAGTGCATCACAATCGTCTTTTTCTTTTATGAAGAGAATAACATTAACTGTCAGTTCCAATCACTGAACTAATAACAATTCTCTTAGATAAGTCAGATAAACTGATTATCTTCTAATGAAAATGTGATATATGACAGAATTTAAATCCACTTATCACTGGCACAACAGTTTTTCCTCAACATGTAGTTGCTCTATAAGTACAAAATATTGTCATTTATCATCACAGAAACAAAATGGGAAGACTTCAAAGTGACAAAAATGATTACCATAAACTAGTGTACCTTCCAAATATCTTATTTTTTAAATAAATTTTCATCATAAAACAATTTTTCTTTAAAAATGTTTACTTGTTCATATACTGTTCATCACAACCTTGTGATAATACTTATTGAAAATATTAAACAACAATAATACTACAGTTGCATCACAAAGTAATTACACAATTTTGTTCATGAAGACTTATCCAACTTATATTTTTACAATTTCTAAGAATCAGGATACCAGAAATAAATCTGACAATAACCAATTTATGCATTAAGCCAAAATCTAGTCAATTCACAATAGTCAGGAAAAAAAAACTAATATAAAAAAGCTGTCAGAGTAACAAAATTCCACATATGCCATAATTTAGGTATAAATTTCTATGTATGTTTACTTTTAAAACAGAACTCACAATTCAACTGAAGAAAATATTGTTATCACATATACAGCAAGATTCACACACACACACACATGTATATATATATATATATACACACACACACATATTAACTATTTGTGAAGAAATCTGCTATTGTTACAAATTCTGTATAAAACTGTAATTGAGCATCAAAATTAAAATTATTATCAGAGTGAGTCCATATTACATGTGCACTCACAAAAACATACTTAATAAATATCAGCTTTACCAGTATCTGTAATATTTGTGTATTAAATTTCACAACACCCTTCATTTTCTACAGGTTCTACTTAAAATCATAAATACATCACAACTAAAATCATGAATAATATTCAATGTTAAACTGGTACACAATTAAAAACATTTTATTTAGGCCTATCTATGGCCTTCAAAAAGTTGACGACTCTACATGTCAGGAGGATGATGTTGTAATGTCAAAACATGAAGAGTTGTCAACTT